CACAAAGCCCTCTCAGCAATCACAGCTTCTCGGGATGTCAGCTAGCATTACTGTAACCCCCCTTACGCCTGCGATCAGGGCTCAGCCATGCAAGTGGAACTGGGGCAAAGCGAAGGCACTCGCTCGTGGCAGCCAAGGGGGAGACCGGTCATCTCCGCCACACTGACCTCTGAGGGCCTTTCGAGGATTGGGATGTGACGGCGTGGGCGATGAATGATGGTGAAAGTAATGCTCTGATTCATTTTGTTGGTGTAAACACAGAACGACTAGCACTAGCTGAGGACTCAAATAAGACACAAACGTCATCGAATTTTGTGTTTTTTGGAGGGGAAGACAACTGGAGGGCCCATTATGTGGCCCCAGCTCTCCTGTGCTGTCCAGGTTGGTTCGTCTGTCAAGGTAAAGTGGCAGGACTGCAAATTCTGCCTGACAGCCGAAGCTCCCCTCAGGGAGACTAAGTGGCGTCAACCTGTCGTAGTCACACACTGTTGCTGACAAGGTGATGATGAACACCTTTCATTAAAAGGCAGAAGTTGGGCTTTTCCTCTGAGAGAGCATGTTCCGGTCTTAATGTCAAAGGGAGAGGACCGGGGCTGGACCAGAAAAGGCTTGGGGCTCAACCTCTGTAGGATTTTCTATGCGAAGACCTCCAGTATGTCACCACGATGTGCACACTCAGAAATTCATAGGAACTACAATCAGAGCCACAAGAAGAGGTGCACTCCTGGTTGGATTGGAACCCTCTTGTTGAAAAATGTTTAAATCTTCCCGCAAGCTGTCAACTGTGCGGATGCTGCAGTAAACATATGATATGTGGATTCACATCGCTTAAAGCTATACACTAAAGCGATGGGGGCTCCAAATGGTGGCGACAGATAACTATTTGGACAATTTCAAGTTCTCTACCCAGAAATCAGGGCTTGGGAAGTCATCACACTGCAGACAGCAATACCGGCTATAGTTTGTGATTGCTTTAAAGGGACAGGAGAGGTCATAGCTGGCAGAAGAAACATTGCTGAGGCCAGTTGTCTCCAGTCAGAGCCCTGATCAGGAAGACCCTTTGACTCAAATTGTGATTCGTCACTCCTGTGGGCACCCAACACCAGAATGTAATTTGGGTAAGCGGGGTTAATCAATGTGGTCTGGATTGGATGGCGCGTTGGCTTGCAGTCTAATTTGAACTGATAACAACAAATGTGTTTTTAAATGAAAATCTTGCCCGCTGTAGCTTCAAAATGCAATATACTGTAGAAGAGCCCCTACTAGATTTTGAATAAATACTGCGTACTGAAATATTGACTGTTTCCTGGCATCACAGTGTCACACTGCCGAGAATTGTTGACAGATGTTCGGTATCGGTAAGGGAGTTAAAGAGTCAAACTGTGTGGCATTACAGCAAATCCCCTCAACGGCTCATCACAGGCAAAAGAATTACGAACCACCTGCTTTCCAAAACACACAACACTAACAATGATAATTATGATAATAATTAACTGATACTTCTGCTAATAGTAATACCACCGTACACACAAGTACTGTGTGCGGTGTGATCGAAAAGATTGAAACCTACATTTCAATTGATTATTCAGTTAAACAAAAAGGGAATATGTGCAGCGGTGGATCCATTAGGGCCCACTGGCAGAATGTAAATTATGATATTAGCGGCAATAAAATAGCTCGGATCTCTCAGTAAACACGAGTGACTGAAGTACCCCGGCTGCCAGCGTATGGCTTCAAACGAGACACGGCTCCCACACCTACAATCTATCCACAAATCATTACTGGCCTAATGAGCAACATCAAACCCCGACATTACGACAATATACTGCCATCTCCATGACAACTGGGTTCGCAGAAAAATAGCAATATGTCCCTGGGACTTCCGTTTCCGTCGCATGCTGCAGGTTTTATACCCTGCAACTTTATACCATCAATCTTTGGCACGTCAAGACGTTGGAATGTGTTCTGTTTCAGCTGTGCCACCGGCGGCTCATGTAAGTGCAGGATGATGCTTCTGCACGTTATCCCCTTTTTAACATTAGAGGATTGCATCTGCACTCGCAGTGACCACACAGTGTCCAATTACATTGATTTTGTTTTCTCTTCTTTTGTTATCCTGCTGAGTATTTTGTGAGCTCGGAAGGTGCACTGAGTGAGAGAAGGCAAGCGGAAGGAAATAACTGGGTTACCTGATATCATTTATTATCATTTCAAAACATAAAAAAAGAGGATGAGAATAATTTAAAAAGTCCACATTTACATATCGCTGTTGTTTAGTGGACTTCCCAAATGTTAATCTTTTACCCCAAGTGGAAGGACAGGTTCTTTTTTTGTTGTTTAGAAAATTCTACCCTTTCCAAATAAAAAAACAAACACATAGTACTATGTACTACTAACAATACATCTATGTTTCCCTTTTCATGGCACTCTGGTAGTCCTGGTGGAGATATACTGTAACTCTCTGTGTTGCCAAAAACAAGGTTCCCCTTTTTGTGATGAAAATTGTCTGTCAATTCTCAGTTGAATTTCTAAATGATCATGTTTCTTTAATGTGTTCATTTTAACATCCTGCACCCCATCGAGAGTGGGACAGTGATTGCACAGACCCAAAAAAAAAAAAAAACAGTAAGATTCTGGTAAATATATTGTTCAGTTTTCATGTCTCTTTGACAACATTTATCGTTCACTGCAGCTTGTTATGATGTTACAGCAGTTTTAGGGCCACATATCGTGTTACCATGCATATGGAAAAAGGCAATCGTAATATGATTACGGCAGTAATGTGAGTGAGGTGGGGCTCGTGTACATTGTGCTGGTTGGATGATGATGCTCTTAGCAAGAGAAAGCTATAGCTGCACTAACATGTGGAGTGTTCAGCTTTTACTGGCATTCACAGAGAACATTAAAGACATGTTATTGTCTTAATGGGATCAGAACACTGTTCTCTTATGACATGCAAACAGGATTAATGATATACAGTATGTGGAATTATATGAGCAGTTATTTTACTTGGACTATTAGAAAGATTTATTTTTGTGTTAACTTATACAAATGTCAGGTACATTAGCTGTTTGGCTGAATCATCTTAATTCATCTTGATTATAGGATACATTGCAACACCATACAGATCATAATGGTCCCCAGCGGATCAATCCTGCCGGCTTTGGTGATCTGTTGACTGTTAATCTCTCCACCAACAGGCCAATTTTTTCATTTATCAATTGAAATATATCAACATATACGAGATTCCGAATGATTTGGGTCAGCACCACCACAAGGTTTTGCAATTTTGAGTGAAATCTAACAACATTATTAACAAATATTGAATGGATTCCTATTATTTGGCATTTTGATATTCATGTTCCCATCAGGACGAATAGTTATTTATTTTGTCCAATACTTTGGTTTATGACCTATTATATACCTGCAAAACAAAATACATCCCCATCAGCCTCAGCTGTTCTTTGCCTTTAGTGCTAATTATCAGCATGCTAACATGCTAAACTAAGGTAAACATGATACCTGCTAAACTACAGCATGTTAACATTGCCATTGCTTCACCTCTGTCTGCCTCATTGAGCCACTAGCATTCTGCACACTCTTAGTCTTGTTTTATACATGACATTATTTATTTATTATAGCGGTGCGGCTTCACAGTCCTGCCACATTATTTTGTAGAGCTGTGGTGGCTCTAGTAAAGCAGAACTTTCTATTACGAGGGTACAGTAAGAACCGCAGGACTTTAAGTGTTAAGAGCTGGGTCAAAGTTCCTCCATAACGACTTTCCCTTACAGTACAATTTAAAATTACATCTGGTTTAGTAAATTCAGGGCCAGTCATTCAAATTAAAACTGTAAACACTTTATATTTTATTGAAAAAAAATGCCATTGGTTTCAGATATCCATTACAAGGACATAAGGACACAAGGATACAAGCCCTAACTGTGACTAAAATGTCACTAATTTAAAAATGTACATAAATGATATGCAATCCCTCTCACTTTGTGCTGAAAGACCATGTCTAGTTTGCACATTACACCTGTTCATGAATTCATGCATAACTCATCAGCCGCACTTTGTCGCATAAGAAGCAAGGATTCAAGGATTCAAGGATAATTTATTGTGATTATGCAACACAGGGTTGCATAACGAAATGTAGTTGTAGCCCATTTGCTGCACATGAAAAAACATGACAAAACATAAATGGTCGTGCATTCCTGTAGTGCTTTTATTTGGTTTTTAAATCTGCATCGGTGGGAATGCAAACAGCAACAACAAAACAATTCTCTGGGCATAATATGGGCGGCATCTTAACATAAAAAATTCGACACCATCATCAACATTCATGCTCACAAGCGTTACTGTTTTGCATGCGGATGCAGGGCTCGGGTTGATGTGTTTGTCTAGTTAAACGCTTACCCTCATCTCAGCAAATTGGATGGCAGTTTAATAAGTGGCGCTAACTTTTTAAAACCGAATTGATTTACCTGTCACACTTATTTCCTTGTTTAGTTATTACTTTAGATACTGACAATATACATAGGAGATATAGTGCCATCTTCTAAATGGTTTTCCGAGCAAATCGTTGTTAGACATAATGGGCTATGGATGAGGGGGAAAAAGTAATCAGAATTTGGTTTTAGGGTTGTGTCAGTTAATTAACACCTGATTAAGCGGTCAGTGGAGATGGCCGCATGCTGCTGTGAGAGGAGGCTGTGAGCACAATCAAAAGAGGTGCCCATTAACCATTAGAAATGTTTCAGAGGCTCACTCGCTCTCTCTGCACAGCTTAAAAACAGAACAATGTCACAAAATTACACAATTCTTAGACGAAACGGAACATTAATGTCGGCACATTTATCCATACACAACGAGAACACAAAGTAAGTCTTAATCAGAAACACTGCCATGCTGTTGTTGGTTTTTTTAAAATGTTTTTTGTATAGGAAATGAGTTGTTATAGTTGCCTCTGGTAGAAAAAAAGAAATCTCATCAGCAGTCAAGCTTGGTACTCTATAAAATTGTCAGTGACATCCTTTTCTCCTGCCCCTGAAGACTTGTTACAGTGTTCAGGGCAACTTGTGAAGTCATGGCGGTGGAGACAGATTTTTTGAATTGTGACATGAATGCAGACAGAGAGAGGCAGTATTGTTTTCTGGAAGAGACATCTTTCTCCTCGAACAATGTCCCTTTCTTTTTCATTCAAATAATCTCATTTGAGATTGCATTGTTGTGCTGTCTTCCACAGTGTCACATCGCAATTACATTCTTGAAGAGACCTGCGATAGGCTGCGGAGTTCAGACAAGTGTGCGTTATTCTCACTTGTACGGCTGCAGTGAATTTCTGATCATTGATTTTTCTTTGTCCTTGTCTTAAAGTTGCAATGCAATTGTTTAGTTTGGCCTTCTGTGTGTCAGGACAGCCTCCTCCAACAGTCACAACGGTCGGCCTTTAACTCCATCTCCGTTACTCTATACTTCATGTAAATCCACAGGGTTGAGTTCTGACAACTGGTTACATTTGGATAACAGTCTTATTTTAAGGCCTCTATGTATTGTGTGTGTCCTGAGGGAAATGCTGTGAAAGTTATTAATCCAAAGGGTGGTCCTAGATCACACTGTGAGACATGTGTTATTGGCTCATTTGGAGCTTGGGCGACCAGAGATAAGTGTCAGAAATGTATAGATCAAAGTGTCACAACATGACTACTGCTTCGACCACTATCTACAAACCAATCAATGGGAATCTGACATGAATCCTGCCATAGACACATGCATGTAGGTACCACATTGACATGTATGTATCTGTAGTAAATGCAATTTCTTACTTGGTAAAATAAAATAAAAATCAGCAGGCATTCCTTGCACGAGGCTCAAAATGAATAGTGTTTCAGTCTGACACAAATTGCAACCAAGATTTTATTCGACACATCTTGAACATTCTGACTTGCAAATAACCTCTGCTCTTATCGCACAGTACAGGCTCTTTAGCAAACATTTGTTAATCCCCTAATCAAGCAAAACCATCCTCTTATCTAAATACCTGTCCAATAACAGTGGCAGGCTTACATTATTGGTCTGCACAAAAGGTCTGTGTGCGTTTGTTTTTTTACAGAGCAACTTGCAGGATTTTCTGATCTCACAATCCATTTTTACTGGGCTTGAATTGGGTGTGTTGCAGGGTGACTTTTTATTGTCAGGCACTGTTGAAGACTCAGACTCTGTTGCCAGCTACTATTTTGCTGCATTTGTGTTGACAAAAGCTGGTGAACAGAAGGCTTCCCAGCCTACTCACTGACCATGCATTGCACGGTGAGTGGCCATGCCCACCTGCAGCTTTGGAAGGAGACCCTTCGCTGACAACATCTGCTGCAGGTCTCAAAGGATGTGTGGGCCGTCGACCGCTAATCTGCACTTCTGAGTGTGATTGTCTTTGGTTTCTCACAGGAGTTTGAAGGATAATGAGAGCTTTGTTTTAAAAAAAGAAAAGCAGAAAATTGAACAAAACCAAGAATTCCTCCTAAACGTGTTTGAAACGTATAGGTTAAGGAACAGGTGTTTACACTCATGAGCTGACAGTATAATTAAATCAAGTGTGCATAGAAACAGATATTTGATGATAAAGTAAAGTCTCTTTGTAGAGCAGCATATAGATCCAGCATCTGCTGCGGCAAGAAAAAAGGCTCCGTCCATACGCACAAAAACATACATGTTTTCAAACATGTAGTCAGCACAGGTTATAAAGGTTCATGATGGTGCGTCTTTGCATCAATGGGATAGTGGTGATGAATGTTTTTGTAAAAATAAAAGTCACCATTTATTTTCTGTCCTTATTTGTCAGAACTTCTCTGTTGGCTTCACAAACCATCATCTCTTCAATGAAATCACCACTTTCAGAATAGTCTTTTTGGGGCTTTTTTTTAGTGCTAAAGGCACGTTATTTTTGTACTTTTACTCAAAGAAAGTCCATTATAATCTTACAGAGTCCTGGGTAACATCTACAAATTTCTTTTTTTATCCAACCAACAGGTGTTACAGTACGTGTTAAAGAAAAAAGCAACAAATCACCACACTGGAGATTTTTTTCCTTCAAATTTGACTGAAAGATGAAGCAATTATCTAAATAATCACATATTAATTTTCAGTTGACAGACTGATTAATCAACTAATCGTTTCAGCTCTAGACATGAGGCACAGCAACATTTGCATTCCTTTGAAGTAGTGTTTCTAGCCACACATGCACATTCAAAACGTACAAAATCCTGACTGTTTAAAACTGACCCTGCGAAGAGACTATTTTACTCAATATAAGTATGTTTGCAGAGAAGCTGGTTAATGTAGTAAATAATTAGTCACATAACATGTATGTCTTTGTGGTCCTCTTTCTACAACATTGTCATTGAATTTGTGTTTCTGGTGAAACAGCGTCCTCTAGAAGAAACTACCACTCAATGTCCATTTATAAGCATGTAATCATGCACGCAGGCACGCCTGAGGACGCCAGATGAAGTTAGCATGAACATATAAAGTACAAAACTAAGTACACGTGGCTAATTAACTTATCTGTTAACGGTCAGGACTCTTAGAAGACCCGAAACTGAAAATGTCGGTGAGTGAAATGCGCTCCTTATCTGTCTTGCTTTTTTTTTTGGTTTTACTGATCAGCTGGCAGAACAGCCCGCCGTGGCTCCGTCTATGACTTGGACGGGTTGGTAATGCTGTGGAGGCTATATTGCTTAATTGTGCGGTGCCTCTGTTTTGGTTTGAATTTGCGTCACAGTACAGTCGGTGTGCTGTAGTTGTCAGTAGTTAATGTGTACATATACAGACCCGAGGAGCGTTTCCACAGGGCTCCTTGGGCTGGATGAAGCCACCTGTTTACTGTTTTCAGGTTAAACAGGTGGTCGGGTCGTTGCATCTTAGATGATTTCATCCTGTGGGATAGTAGCTTTGGTTTACTTTATAAGGAATACGCTATAAACTGTATGTTACGCACGTCAGGGTAAATAAATGAAGAGATAGTGTGTAGGTCATATATTATATGTATGTATATCAATGTATATGCATTTGTGTGTATATATATATATTAGTGCTGGGCAACATTACAATTTTTAATCGCGATTAATCGCATGGATTTTTTGCAATTAATCGCATTGTTATGACAAAGTTCAATAATGAATTCAAAAGTAGTGTATTGCGCACTTTTATTTTAAAAGTACTGCTATATGAACAAAAGGTCAATAACATTTGGTTTGCAAACACTTAAAACACATCAGGTTCTTGTTAACAGCAGTATTCCCTTTACACAGTAGCATTTATATCTCTTCACTATCTGTGCTCAGTGTGTGACTTTATGTGAAACGTTTCACTGCTGTGCAACATGAATAACATGTTTCAGCACGTTTCACCACGTTTCAGCACAAATGTCTGTCTTCATGACAGTCAGAGCATGTGAATGCAGCTCTACTGTTCATCAATATGCTGTAACTCCAAGGTAATTATGGTTACCCAGCGATCAAAGAATAAAGACACTTTACCCGCAATTTACATATATATATATATATATACACATATATATATATATATACACATATATATATATATATATATATATGTATATGTATATATATGTGTGTGTGTGTGTGTGTGTGTGTGTGTGTGTGTGTGTGTGTATGTCAGTGGTGGGCTGTCAGGGCCTGCAAGGCCTTCTCTGCTGGCCTAAACAGAATCACAAAGTTATATCTATTTTATAATTTAATCATTTTTCTTAAATACACTACATGTATTATAATTTAAAAAAATATTTTTCCCATTATCTTATGTTCTCATTGCACAGCTACTGTGTTCCTCAATTGCTCTGCTTCCAGTGCAGCTTGTTTTAAGTAGAGCTTTTATCCAATCAGATTTCACCTCTGTGTCTCTGGGTAAGAACAGAGGCACTTTGCAGTTTAAGTGAATGGGGACGATATTGTTGATTGTCATAGTCTTCAACCAATCAGATCTTTAGTTTGATATGTTGGGCGTATTCTTTGACATGGCAGAGCCTGCTAGCTGGCTTAGTCATATGTGATTGGTCAGTGGGCTAGCCTGACATGTTGGGCGGTGACAATCCCAATATCTGCTGCCTCTGTGGAGCAGACATTTTCAGCCTCAAATGCATTAAAACCTATTCAAGAAATACAACTGGGGAGGCTCGACTGTCTTCACTGGCGTCCATGAATCGAGAAGGACTTCTTACTGGAACTAAAACGCACAGATGTATTGAACAACCGTGAGATTAAACTCTTTGTTAACAAAGAAAGGAGGAAGAACAGCTAAATAGTGAACAGCAGCTCTGGTAAGTTAACTGCAGTAGCTTTAACTGCCATAAATATGATCTATGTCATCATTTAATATGCTTGTTTATATTATATATTATTATTTATACAACTTATATGGATTTTCGTTTGGTTTTATATGTGATAGGAACTATTGTTACGTCCTATGTTGCGCTGGGGACAAATTTAGCCGGTGCACAGCAACAAGACCACGCGCGAAGCGGCGGCGGTCTATATACTCCGTGCAAGGTGTTAAAGTTAAAGTGTTAACGTTAAGTTTAAGTTTTTAAGTGATCTACTTTGTAGATTCATGTGTTTTCAAGTGGACTCATTTTCCCTCTCGGTGTTGACAGACGAATAAATCCGTCAGTAACAAGAACTATGGAGTCGTGTATTTTCTGGAGGGAGTGACAGGAGAGTTACTACTCTGTTAATTTGTCTCTCGTGTCGTTTTCATGATATGGGTAATATTGTTCCCTCTGATATGAATAATATTTGAATGGCCCGTGCTCTTGAGCGTGTGGCGGAATGCGTGTTTTAGCTGAATTGATTTTGACTCATTGTTCGTTAATGCCGCCGCATCCCGTCATGCCGGTATTCATGTATCTGCACTCAGTGTATTTGTAGGTGTTGAGCTTCTTTTTTTCGAGTGCAGGCCCAGGTATAAAATGCACGGCCCGCCACTGGTGTATGTATATATGAATATATGTAATGTAGCTTTTAAATGTGATCTGTGAATGACTATGTGGTTTGTTGTATTAACTCCACTACTAATCTGTACTCTGATTTAAAAAAAGCTACAGGTGTATATAGTATTTGTTGAAGGTATCACGTGTGTTATCTGTGTGTGTATGATATATGTAGCTAATTTATTTCATGGCTTGAACATACATCTACATGTAATTTGAATATCATTCTGAATTGCATAGCTGAATGCCATGTGGTTTGGTCCTTCTAGCACAGTTCAGCCTCCTTCAAGTATTTCTTCCAGTCAGTTCTCAGTAAAAAATGAGGTTTGGACACATGTAGTGAGGCTCTGTGGGACAGCCTCAGCAGGTAACTGTAATAAAATGTAGTCCTGAAAATTGGACCAAAGCGGTAAAACTCAATTTGATTTTGGTATCTTTTCCAACTATTTCAGAGAAGACTGTTTATTGTAAGTCTGTTGTCTTGTTTTTTTTTTGCAGTTGTTCCTTTTGTAAAAAAGATTTTAAGATTTGTTTGACATTTTGAATACGAGGAGCTGTTTGTTAGCTGGTTGCCTGTTGTCTCCCAAAGGCGAACCCATGATTCTCTCTTATAATCTTTGCTTGTAGGCCTCGTGTGTTCCCAAACAAGTAACAGGTTTTACATAAGCCTTTTCTGTATCTTTCTCTCAGATACACTGGAGCAGAAAAGTCCTGCACTCTGGATGTGGTGGAGATAATTGTGCTCAGAAGGGAGACCCTCTTTCCCTGGGTGTTGTGCATTTTTCTTTTTATCAGCTGCAGCAGATTCAACATTATTAGTATTATTAATAATATTAGCATTATGGGTTTTGTGACGGTGGTGGCTCTGCCGTAGAAAACCTCACTCATGCATTTTTCTCTAGGATTCGGCTTCAATGGGAAGATTTGAGGTCAGATTGAGGCTCAAACTTCAACTGCAGCCCTGAAACATGGGCACTTGCAGCTATTTGTGCGACTTTAAACAGCCCTTGTTCCCATTATCTCTGAAAATCTAACAAACCCCAGACTATACTGATATGACCTAGTTTTCCATATGTTGCAGCTTCGAGAGGTTCTGTTGGAAATAGGTCTCTCGGGGCCACCGGTTTGATAAGACATAAAATTCCTTAATCCTGACAGGCAGGCAGGTCGAGCTCAACAGATACAGTAAATCAATCAATGTGTCTGAGAAGTAGCAGCCTTCTGTATCGACTGTGAACCCCCCCGCCCCCCTTCTCACAGACACTTTCTAGGACACGCTTGACAGTGATGACTTGGGTTATAGTCTGTCTTCCCATTCCAGCTTCCTACTCAGCCTTTATAGTTTGTATTGTAAAAAAAACAAGGCTGAAGAAGAGAAAAAAAGAAGTGTATTTGACCCACAAGATGAAGTACGCTAGGCATCATTACCAACCAGCGGAGATGGTTCACCTCATGCCATCTTTTAACTGGTCCATTAACCAGCTTCACAGAAGGGAGTGAGAGAGAGAGCGCAGCCTTCGGTGCCAGGGGCTTGGAGACACCAGGACGTTTGGATATATTTGAACCTGTAGCTTCAAAATTCAAGCTTGCCCTCTGAATCATATTCAACACAGGCCCCAAGGTGTGCATGTGATGATAGGTAGGAATTGAAAGCTTTTATAGAGACGAAACCTGGCGGCGGGGGTGAATACCAAGTAGAGTTGGCACTTTTTTTTTTCTTCTCAAAAGCACAGCTTAAACAAGTGTAGGAGCCTCAGTGAACAAAGGATAAGACTCTGTAAAGACGAACGGTGGGAACTGAGGAATATGGGGGTGTGTATTTCATCATTACAGCAAGATGTTCGACATTGAATCAGTCAAGTCAGTGAACGGGAAGTCAACAATTTTTAATACGCTCCTCTGACTTCCCCTCATAGCGTCTTCATCCTTTTAAAGCGGCATGAGATTTCTCCCTCCCCTCCTCCACGGCGGGAGAATCGAGGCTTGTTCTCACATTTCAGTCCATTTATATCCTGCCAGATGCAGCTCAGTGATCTTAGCCCGCCATTAGCGTGCACAGGAAAGCATCCAGTGCAAGTAAACAAAAAAATTAAGGGATGGCCCATTTCTTCCTTTCCCACATTTCTTCCTGTTCCTCAACCCTGTCTTGCCACATGACTTACGATTTCTTCAAAACAAGGCATTACATCCGCCGGTTTTGACAAATCACAGCTCTGTTCTTTGTGTTTATGAGCCTTGTTTTGCGTGTCCTCACATTTCTGTAGCCGGCACAGAAATGGAGCGGCTCTCTGGTGTAGTTGTCATAATGTTGATATTTTCGCGAGATAAATTGCAGCCGTGTTTCCTCAGGGTTCTCGACGACGGGAAATCAAACGGCCACAGTCAGCTATTGCATAATATCATATCTTAGCAAGAATAACCGCATATCTCAGGGTTTCTAAATAAGTCACAACTGTCAACTGTGTTTTGCTGTTTTCTGTAATTAATGCACCCTAGAGTTAAAATATTCAAGCCCCTCGCTCCATCTCACTGTCTGTCCAGCAGTGACAAAACACATCAAATGTCAAGGGAAAGAGATTGGGATCATGTCAATCATTTTCTTG